CCCCCCCCCCCCCCCTCTAAAATTAAAAATGGGTTCGATTCCAATCTGAATTGGAAAAGCATTGTAAAATTTCCACAAAATGGAAAAGGAAAAGAAAGCTTGGAACGTGTTTTAAAAAATGAATTTATATATCGGACTCGTGCAAAGCGTCAAAAAGGTTCTTTTCAAAAGAGATGCTTTACATGGAACGGTCCTTACGAGCTAGTTTGAAGTGGAGGCACATTATAAACTTCACAAAATGGAAAAAAGAAAAATCAAGAAAAAAACTTGAAACATGTCAAAATACATTAAGAAATAATGCAAGAAAACCCCAGAGCACAAAAGTAATAATTCAAATAATGTTTAAAAGAGAGAAGAAAAAAAAAAGAAAAACAAAATTACTGGTAGTGGCCATTCAGGGGTCTTGCTTCCTCTTCGCTTTTCTGTTGCTGCTGCCTCTTCTTCTTGTACTTTCTCTTCAACCTGCCGCTTGGCTTCTTCGGCTTTGCGTTGGGCCTCTTCTTCTTCAGCTTTTTTACGCTGGCGGTCGAGACGACGTTTGGCAAGCCTGTCCTTGAGCTGTGTGATATATGACAGACAATTACATGAAATTAAAATTCTTCTTAGTCTGGCAGAAGAGTAAAAGGAAAAAGACAGTTTCGTTGTTGTAGTTCACTGTTATGCACTCTTTTGTGGGTGTCGGTTCATTACTGTTGTTGTCGTTGTCATAATCATTGCGGTGATGGAAGTGGTGGTGTTAGTGCGGTGGAGGTATAGCAGTGGTGATGATAATCGTGGTAATGGAGTTTGTAGTGGTGGTTCAAGTTTGTAGTGGTGGTTTAAGTTTGTAGTGGTGGTAGTGGTGTGGTAGGATCGGTAGTGGTAGTAGATGTGGTGGTGGCAGTAGTGGTGGTGGCGGCGGTTAGTGGTGGCTGTGGCGATAGTGGTAGTGGTAGTGGAAGTATCGATGTTCTGAAAGCCACTATATCTTACCGAGTCTTGAACTTCATCTCGTTTGAGCATGGTCTTCTCCCTCACCAAAGCAAACTGTTTCTGTGCCATAGTAACAATAGAAGCAGCCATATCTACCTCATACTGCTGCTCATCACGTTTGCGTCTTCTAGCTTCGAGTCTCTCACGCGCCAAGCGACGCTGCCGCTCCACGTCCTGCTGTAATGCCTGTATCAAATAACTCAGTCAAAAGCTTGCCAGGGATTATATCGGCTATTATATAGGCTACTGCAGTTTTCGAATTTCTGCGAACTCAGTCATTTCAACGAATTTTTTTCTTTTATTGCTGCCGCCAGTCAAGATCATAAAAAATACCGACAAATTGGGTTTGATTGACGACAAGTTTTCAGTGTGCATCTTGCAACTACCGAGTTCACAGAACATCGAAAACCGCAGCAATAGCATGCATTTGGGCATATGACATTAAGTCGAAGTGTATGCGGGCATTATTGGACTTTCAGTATTTTAAACTAGAATTTTTCTTCCACCATTATCCAAGAATTTGAGAACATTAATTAAATTGAGGAAAGCATTCTGTGTTTTTCCTAATGCTTACTAAGACCAGCCATCGCTAAAACGGAGATTTATAATAGCAAAAACATATAAACATTAGATTATAAAGGCTAAGCATAAAAAGTATACCGTTTTCGACCGAAATTATCATCAGAATGAGTACACTTCATAGAAGCATGTGTTTTCAAGTCTCCCCCTTAGGATTTGTGCAATGAAGCACGTTATTTGTTTGTTCAATGATAGCTTCCTCTGTTGGATCATTTATATTTTTTCAATAAAGTTAGTCACCAAAAACCTAGAAAGCTGAGATCACTGAGGACCATGGGAAACGTTTCATAGCAAAGCTTTTTTGATACAAACTGCAGCTTGAGGATGGTCACAGAATGTTAGACTGTAACTGGTAAAAGATCTTAAGTCCATCAACAGTTATCAAGCGGTTTAAATATGTAAAATGTATCGACCCATAACCCTTGTCGGTCTCAGCTTTGTAGCTTTTCACGTGACTAGCTTTATTGAATGAAGTATATCAATTAGATTTGAGAGAAGAACACTTACATTTCGTCTGGCATCGTGTTGTCGTTGTAACTCGGCCATAGCTGCACTAATTTCTTCTTCCGATGCGCCAGCGAGTTTCTTTGCTTCTTTCTCTTTCTCCATCTCTTCCTCCAGGGCTGCTAGCTCTTGCTCGTGTTTCTCTTCAAGATGTGCTTCTTCTTCGCCTTCTTCACCTAATGCATCCATTGCGCTTGGAGCCTGAAAATACAACGTTATCAAATACACAGTCACACCTTTGTATGGCACTGACACAAATGAAGATATATGAATTATATGCACTGTGTTGATGAATTGCAAGAATGTTTTATAGATAAACTAAATAATGAAAATAAATATGTTTATAGAGGATGACACTTGACAGTAATATTCAACTGATAAACTCGTGGTCCTCTTTTAACGTCTCTAGTTTATTAGGAACAGGAACGCTGAGCCACGTAAAGGTTTAATAATTTGCATTTGCAGATGTAATTATGAAGGCAGCACCTTCTCGGTTATTTTAAGACCCTGGGTGTCGGTCCAATATTGTCCGAGTATTGTTCTGGACTGGGTTATCTCGTTTTCACATGTATGAGAGTTTAGTCAGTGCGGAACAATAGTTATTCCAATTGGTCGTTCTATCATTTCGATTCGGTGTACAGATCGACAGAGTTTGGAAATAAAAATTCCATGTAAAGAGTTTCACAGATTAACGTACCTCCATGATTGTACTCCTCTTCCTAACAGGCCTTGTTCCCAGAATAACTGCCGCAACGTTATCACACCAACCTTCACGACGAGAACGACGTTGATCGTCTTTGATTTGAGTTAATACATCAGCATCCTAAAGACAGATATGCCATCATTAAAGGGTTTGAAATATTTTAGTGTTGGAGAGGGAGGAACGCAGTAAGACAAATGCATCCATTCATTCGTTTTGCCATTCATTCATTCCTTCCTTCGTTTATTCATTAGTTTAGTCAGTGAGTGAGTGCGTCAGTGAGTCAGTGAGTCAGTGAGTGAGTCAGTGAGTGAGTCAGTGAGTCAG